CCCTAGGCTCAATCCCCCGCAACACACACACACACACACACACACACACACACAGGTCAACTGATTCAGCTACCAATATTGATGGATACTGAGTCATGGGTATAAATACCTCATTTGTAGTCATATAAAACCAATCTTAGAAGGTGCTTGCTTCGGCAGCACATATACTAAAACCAACCTTAGGTGAAAAATCACAAATACCTATAATTCATGATGTGGGAAGAATTTCAGAAATTATCTGGTTCACTGGCTCTGAATTGTGATTGCACAATGAAATCATTTTCAAGAACTTAAAAAAAAAAACAAAACACTGATGTCAATAGAGAGTGTAAGTAGTTTTCAAAAAGTCCTCAATTTTCCTAATATGTAGCCATGAATGAGAATCACCGATCTCTTGTATTACAGATGACCTTGAGGTTCACTTTATGAACCACTGAAATGTTTCTTTTCAGATCTTTCCATATTGTAATGGAACTCATAGTAAGTCCTACCTATTTCAATTGATTTTTTAACTTTTTTAGTGAACGTAGTTTGGAGCATTTGAACGTGGTAGAACATCAAACTTTTAAACACAGACAATATATCCTAGAGTTAAGACTCCATGTTGCAGTTGGGAGACGTCTTAAAAGTTTTAATAATGTACTACTAAGTAAGAAGGGAGGCAGTAATACACGTATGACAACAGAAGCAATTCAATAATGAAAAACGATGACTTTAGAGCCAATCAACCCCGGGCTTTTGTCATTACTGCGTTAATCTAAACCTATGTTTCCTTCCATGTAAAATGGGAAATGGCATCTACCGCATAAGTAAACACTGAAAAATCAAAATACCTTAGTTCCTGGTAATCACACAGCTTAATTTAATTTTTAAAATGCTAATCAAGCCTGGCGTGCTGTTTCACGCTTGTAATCCCAAGCACTCGGGAGAGGCTGTGGCAGGACTCTCGAGTTCGAGGCCAGCTTGGACTACGTGGTGGGTTAGATCAAGGCCAGCCTGAATTACGTAGTAAAACCCTGTTTCAACAACAACAAAAGCTACTTAACGCCTGTTTAGCTTAACTAAAAACAGAGGACCTGGGTAAGACTGTTCGTAGTCGATCCTGCAGGCCTACAAGGTCCTTTTCACAAATGTTCCCGTTGTCGATGTTAACATCTGGCATGAGCGGACCAGGCAACTTCAAGCCAGTGGGATAAAAACTGCACAGGGGAAGGCAAGACTAGCAAGGCCAAGGGGAGCCTAGTGACCTCGTATCCTGTCCGTCTGAACATGGGATGCAGCGACGCACCCAAGTATCCAGGATGAACCGAAGGGAGGACGACGGTGGAGAACAGAGCACGCAATGTCCCTCACCTTCACCACAGCCGTTCCCCGGCTGCCCTGTCGACCACTGTCTAGCCCCGCTCCAGGCTTGTTTACAACCAGGGCAGCCATCCTGGGAGGAGCGGCGCAGCAACCGGCCCTCGGAACCTCCAACTGAGAGGAGGGGCTGAGCCACTTACCCATAAGGCTCTGCGTACGCCTCTGACGCAAGACGCCTAGCGAACCCGGGAATTCTCTCGCCACCTTCTCCCCTCCTCCTGCCAGTCATTGGCTGATTGGCTGCGCGACTTTGCTCATGGGCACATTGTTTTTCACAATGAATTTGAAACTGAAAAGAAAGAAACAAAAGGGGAACAAATGAGATAAAACACAATTTAAGGTTTTAGGATGAAATTCTCCTTCCTGTAAGGATTTCTCCTCTCCAGTTAGATACCAATCCCGGAAGGGATTGGGGAACTACATGTCCCTGCATGCAATACGATTTTGTGTAAATTAAAAATCCCAGCGTGCCACTTCCTGTCGTTTTTACTCTAGTGTAGAAGTCTGGGAGGCCTGAAAAGTAGTAGTTTCGTGAAGTTTTGATGTGTGATTGGAGGTGCGTAGGCCTAGGCATAAGTAAATAAGCGAGAAGAGATGGCTTTGGTGAAAAGAAGCCGTTGGGCCTGTAAAGGACGTAGTAAAAAGAGAATTTAAGGTACCCCCAGCAGAAAGAAGTGAAGAGCGCCTTTGACCCCGGGTCTTCCCAGGCGAGCCTTGTTTCCTTCCGGGCCAGTTTAAACCTCCCCGGCCCCCGTAGGCAGTTGGTCTGAAGTGCCCGTCAAAATGGAAGTGAATCCTCCCAAACAGGAGCACTTGCTGGCGCTGAAAGGTAAGCTTTTGCGAACTTGCTGTCCTTCTTTCTGCTTTTTTTCCTTCTCTTACTATTTCTCGAAGTTTTTGCCACCTAAACTTCACCTCTGGCATGTAGGCCTTGTCCTTAAACACTGTTAGCGGTCGCCCTCTTGCTCTGTGCCTTGGCACAGAGCTGTAGGAAGCGATTTCAAGCTTCTGATTTTTAGGATTAAAAACCCTGCCTACTAGAGTGAAATAATACATGGTAAGTTACTCTGATTTGTGCTGCTTTGTCACCAGGTTTTAGATACGGAACCAGACGTCCCGACCTTGCCTAGAAGATCTCTGTGATCTAGAATAAATTACAGCGAATTTAAAGTACTTTTTCCATTTTTTGCTGTTCACGTGGCACGGACGAAACCAGGCTTCAGTTTTATCTTTAGAATTATTATTGCAAGGAAATGTCAAGGATTTAACAATACATGGTACTACACACAGCATGTAACAGATTTTAAACTTTTTGCAGTTTATTTCTGTTTGCTTTTTTTCTTTCCTTCTTTTTTGGTACCAGAGATCGAACTCAGGACCTGGCTTGCTAGGCAGGCGCTGTGCCGCTGAGCTAAATTCCTGGCCCCTTTGCAGTTTATTTCAAAGCACTATGTATGTGTAGGAAATAATGTATGTACAAAATCTCTTGTCAGTCTTCATTTTTGCTGTGTCACAGTTTTTGAATATGATGATTTAGGTTGCCAAGGAAAACTTCAAGAGTAATTTTCCTGAAAACTTTTGTTTAAATTTTGAATTTTATATCTTTTAAAAAATAGTAAATTTTACATCCTCTCTTCTACCACAAGTGCACTTTTGATTTCCTCTGTGCTCTAGTATGTGGTTAGTAATGCCTTCTTGGACTGAGCTGAGGAAATGCGCGTCCACTCTCTTTCTCTCTATATATGTATGTATATTTATTTATGAATCTAGCTGAAGTATGCTTCCTTGTGGCACTCATTTCAATACAGTTCTTATTCCTTCTCCATCTTCTGTGATGTAGGCATTAAACACTCCAGAATTCGCAGGTTCCCTTTGCTTTTGTTTTCTTTACTTGTTTTTTTTTTTTTTTTGTGGCAGTGTCTCACTGCATATTCCAGGCTGAGCTTAAACTCATTGTATAGTCCAGACTTTCCTTGAATAAGCGATCCTCTTGCTTTAAGTGCTGGAATTACAGGGGTGAACACCATGTCTGGCTTAATTGTCCTTTTCTTTATCTCAGTTTCACATGAAATACTTATCTCTCAGAGTTTAAGCAACTTTTCTAGAGATTGCATAGCTAATAAGTGATGGAAGCAGTGCTTCAAGACAGGGCCTGACTCCATTTCTCCAAGATGATTTGTTACCTCATGAATGAAACAGCATTTTTAAAGATCATTACCTTACTGATGACTTTGATAGGAATGTGGAACAATTCTATTGGATGCTTGTTGTCATTATATGCAAATTACACACTGTTAAACACAACTAAATTCCAGTCATATGGAGACTAGATGCCATCTGGAATTTTTAGATTTGTTACTCTTCCCTTTCAAAAACAAGACATTGTGAAATTGAAGCAGGGTATTCAAGCAGACTGAAAGGGAAAGTGCTTTCAGTTTCATTGATAGCTTGTGCTTTATTAAGTCTCTGGTGATGTTTTCCCCTTTTTGTCCTATTTAATCGAGAATTTTACAAGTTTTAATTTTACTGGTATGGGATACCAAATATATGAATTTCCGTGATTAAGTTTACTTTCTCAAATATTAATAGCTAAAATATTAAGATACTGCCTTGTTATTCTTGAAAAGAGAAATTTTTATTTAAAAAGAGTTTTCACGACTTCACTTGTCTCAAGTATAAGACCTCATAAATTCGGACAATGAAAATGTTCTCGGTGCCCTATCTTACAATGTGAAGGAGTAAGGAAGGGAAAAGGAAAAAAAGAAGAAATGCTTTATTAATTCTTGAATTTTTCACAATTAGATTATATTAAAAATTATGGATGAGCCGGGCTTGGTGGCACATGCCTGTAATCCCAGCACTTGGGAGGCTGAGGCAGGAGGATCGTTGTGAGTTGGAGACCAGCCTGGGCTACATAGTGAGTTCCAGGGCAGTCTCAACTACATAGTGAGACCCTGTCTCAAAAAACCAAAAAAAAAAAAAAAAAATTATGGATAAGTACAAATTCCCAATAATGAATGTGACTATAATATATATCTAAAATGTACCAATAAACTTAATTTTAAAAATTATGGCTGTTAAGGCTTACATTCACGTACAGATTTGGTAGTTGTCAAGTCTGTTAGTGGACATGATTGTGAGATTACTTAACTTTTTTTTTTTTTTTTTTTTTTTTTTTTTTTT